GAGCTAGGGCATGTACATTACTGTATAGCGGGAAATTTTGGAGGGGATTGAATTTGGCGTTTTGACAGTCATTTGCCAAAATAAAAATTCACCATTTTGAGCCATTATGCGCATGCTCAATGACACGTGGCCACAAATTTGCCAAAATTAAAAATCCACCAATCACCAAAGTTTAGCAATTTGCCAAATTTTAGCTCCTCCAAAATTTTCCGCTATACGGTAAGTTATTTTTAATGTCATTGTCACTTTAATTATTGAGATAGAGAAAGAGAATATAATAATAATAATAATAATAATAATAATAATAATAATAATAATAATGACTTACTGCTGCTTCTTTTTAGGGTTCTGTATGTCCTAGCCAGCATAGTCAGCTTGAGGAGGATGTGGAAGGCAAGGCTGATGGTTCTAATGATGGTAGCTCTACACATGAAGAAATATCTGACCTTGAAGCTGGGATTGATATCAAGGGACTTGTGAAAAAATTTAAAGTAAATTAATTAAAAATATTAATCATATTTAATAAAATTAATTCATAATTAGTATCAGGGTATTATATTTTATTATTGTTCATCATCATAATCATCATTATTTTTAGGCAAAGGAATATTCAAGGACTGAGATCACTGCTGTTGATAATTTATACTTCAAAGTCTACAAAGGTCAGATAACTGCACTACTGGGTCACAATGGAGCAGGAAAGACCACCACAATGTCCATACTCACCGGTCTATTCCCACCAAACAGTGGATCAGCTTATATCAAAGGACTCAGTATTGTGAATGATATCGATCTTATAAGAAGAAACCTCGGGATATGCCCTCAGCATAATGTACTCTTTGATAGACTCACTGTATCAGAGCATCTCTACTTCTTTGCAAGACTAAGGGTATAGTAGAGCTTATGTGTATAATATATGATGTTTATAGCACAAAATTTGCAAGAGCTGTAAATTTCACAGATTTGCCAAATTTAGTTGCAGATTTAATTTTCACATATTTACATTGTATGCCATCTAGTAGTCATCTTGTACTGTGATAATTTCATTTTCACGGGAATAATTTTTGTGAATTTAAAAAAATTGTAAACTCCGTGAAATTTACAGCCCTTAAAAATTTTGCACTATACGGTATATGTATATAAAGTTTAATAAATTTATTTATTTTATGTGTATAATTTTTTAAAGGGTGTTCCTGGTTCTTCTATTAAGAAAGCTGTGTCCTCGATAATTTCAGATCTTCACCTGGAGGCTAGAAAAGATTACAAAGCAAATGAACTCTCCGGTGGATATAAGAGGAAACTATGGTTAGAGAAATTATGTTCTTACTTCTTTTATTCTTCATCTCTCTCTCTCTCTCTTTATTGTATTTTTCATTTCAGTCTTGCTATAGCATTGGTGGGTGATCCTGATATACTGATATTAGATGAGCCAACAAGTGGTATGGACCATAACAGTCGCTTGTTGACGTGGCAGATATTGGAACAGAAAAAAGAGCAAAACAAAACAATATTAATATCAACTCATTCACTGTAAGGCATACTGTATGATTGCTTATTGCTACTCCCTCTTTCTTTTTCCTTCTCCCTTTTTCTTTCTCTTTTTCCTCTCTCTCTCTCTCTCCCCATCTCTCTCTCTCTCTAAGTGATGACACTGAAAAGGCCACTAGACTAGCCATTATGGTTGAAGGGAAGCTAGCTTGTAGTGGCAGCCCTGCTTGGCTCAAGAAAAGGTTTGTCAAAGATATCCATTGCTATATGAATAGTGACATTGGATTACTGTATGTTAACAATGAATTACAATGTATATTATCATTACAGGTATGGTGTTGGTTATAATTTGAGGATTGCATTAAATGAAAGGGCACCACGAGCTCAAGTGGATGAGCTCATTAAGCGACACATAAGGGGATCTGAACCTGTCACAATAGGGGCTGAAACTCAGTGTCTCCTACCACTTGATAAAATTGGAAAATTTGCAGACCTTTTCACCGAATTAGAAAGTAAAATGATCATATAGTATGTAAATGTCATGACTTTATTTTTTGTCTTTTTCTTTGGAGGATTTGGGACAGAGTTGGGTATAGTCAGTTTTAGCATACAAGAGAATAAAATGGAGGACGTCTTTATCAAAGTTGGACAGGGAGAGAACAAATCATGGTACTACCTAGATATTATAACTGTTATTATTCAGTATTATATTTAAACTGTGTGTATATTAATTATTTATTTTCATTAAACTATATTATTTTTTTAAGGAATGCTCAAGTTCGGTTGTTGTCAACAACGTATTCACGGTCCAGAGTAGTTCCAGGTCATCCCCCAATACTTCCTTTGAGCCAGTCACTAAACAGCATTGACTTGAATACCTGGGCATTCCAAGGTACTCCACCTACTAAGGACTAAATATACCATATAGTGGGAAATATTGGAGGGGCTAAATTTGGTGAAATATTACTAAATTTTGGTGGTTAACGGATTTCAATTTGGTAAATTTGTGGCCATGTGCCATTGAGCATGTGTAATGTGTATAATGGCTCAAATGGTGGGTTTTATTTTGGCGAATGGCTATCAAATGCCAAATTCTCCAAATTTAATCCCCTCCAAAATTTCCCGCTATACAGTATTATGCTATTAGTATTGTTTTTTAAGAGCATGCACTCTAATTCATGTACATGTTGGGTGCTATTATTTATCATTTTTTAGGTACTACTCCGTATAGTGATGGTTTCTCCCAGTCTGGTGCTTCTAACTATTTCCCTCCTCCTCCTGTTGAATGTGATGATAATGACAGTTGGCTAGAAGAGCAGGACATGTCCACTACTTTAGGTAATCGAGTGTTTTGTTTAATGAGGCAGTTTTTGAAAGGTTGACTATGAAATCACTCCAAATTTTTTATTACATTTTCTGATGCATATTGATGTATTTATGCTGTGTAGAAAGTTTGAGCTGATTCCGAGTTCACATTCTAGAGTTATGAGCACTCTTTCTAAACTAGCAGATTTTGAGAAAAAAGCATGGACTATAGCCCATGGTTTTTTCAAAAAAATGGTTCCGAAATCACCCCCAATTTTTATTACATTTTTTGATGCATATTGATGTCCTTATGCTGTGTAAAAAGCTTGAGGTGATTCTGAGCTCAAATTCTAGAGTTATGAGCACTTTTTCAAAACTAGCAGATTTTGAGAAAAAAGCATGTTGATGTATTTATGCTGTGTAAAAATTTCGAGCCGATTCTGGGGACAAATTTCGGAGTTTATGAGTGATTTTTAGCTTAATGTTAGTATATTTTTTTTAAAGCATCCTTCAATTAAATATGGGTCTCTTTCTCTAGATCAACCTGCTGGATTCCCAGCATTGGATCAGAGTAGAATATCAACCAGTCAGCTAGCTGTACACCGTAGATCAGATGTTAGGTCTCCTCCTATTGCTGGTATGGAAGTGTTAAAGGAGGAGGAGGAGGAAGAAGAGGAGGAGGAGGGAAAAAAAGGAGAAGAAATGGTAGATGGAGCAGTCGTTCTTTTTATACCGGTTCCTGCTGATAGACCAAGGAATAAACGAGTAATGGAGTTGGCTGGTGGTGAACGGACTCCTGTACCTCTTATAAGTAGAAGTCGTGCATCCTCCATAAGTAATATAAGCACGGGATCCATTATAAGACCAAGTATAATCCAAGATCTCAACTTACCTGTGGAGGAAGAGAGTGACATTGAGACAGAAAGGAAAGGGATAGTGAGGCCTTTCATTCGGAGTGTAAAGGGTTGCTTAACTCGTAAGTTAATTATGTGTACATGTACATGTAAGTATTTTACATTAACACTATCTATTGTTATTATTATAATATGTGAATTTTATGTACGCATATACATACTATAAAGAACAGTATAATTATAAGCAGGTATACATTTTGCGTTAACTATATTCACGTGCTAAATTGTCACGCCCTAGTACAGTCTGCATTATTCTCATAAAAGTGGGTGCTACTTTGATTCTTGCTGTTAGTAGAAGAGGACATGCTATCTTTAATTGTCCTTGCCTTTTCTTTGTCTCTGCTCTCCCTCTCCCCATCATGTGAGGGAGTTTTTGAGGGGAAATTCACGACAGACCAAGGCTCAAACTGCGAATGGAAAGAAGTGAATCACAATCCTACCAGTGTTGCATTCCTGTTGGAGTGCTCGTGCAAGTCTGCAACTGATGGAAAATTTTTTGAATATTCTTGTGAGTATGAAGGGAATCCTCACGACTGCGAGTATTTCGATAAAACTGGAGGAGCCCCGAGGTTCTTTCATCAAATTGCAAACTACTTCAAAGGTGAGGAGAAACGGTAGATATTTAACGTCGTTTTTTTATTTAAATTATTGTCGTCTTTTTTTATTTTTAGAGAGATCTCATGCTTGTTTAGCAGACTCAGTTGATGTGAGCAAGGTTACAAAAATATGCAGTAACATGTCAACTCACCTACTGACAAGGAGAGAAGCTGGTAAAGGAAGAAATGGTGATCCAAAGAGATGCAGCAACGAGGGAAGTAGAAAAAGGAGAGAACTTTGAGATTACTAGGAACTATACTTCAAAGATGCTTATATTATTATTATTTATGAAAAATAAGATAATAATATCAAGATATAATGTTTTTTATAGTTCTTCATGTTTTTTGTTGCAGCCTGATGGATCAATCCCATCAAGTACTCTTCTTTTCATTATGACTGGCCCCACTCCAGCTGTACATGTTCTTGTGTAGTTTGCAGCATCAAATTCTAGTACTGAGCAGGCCTCTACTTGATCCCCTGCAATATCAATAAAACTCATCAACACGTCACGTGGCATTAGAAACTATTCTTATCTCTCTTGCTCAGTTAACGACTGATTTGTCTTACTTTCAAAAATTGTTATAATCTCCTTAAAGAATTTTTCCCTATTGACTTGGACATCAAAGCAGTTATGTTCTGGGTTTCCACTGTAGAGGCAGCCGTATTTTTGTGTGTGTCTGTCCATTGTCTTGCACTCACAATCAATGAAGAGTGCTGCTATTGACTGATGGTCGTGTGCCTCAACATAATGACAGACCGATCCACTCGGTGTCTTGAACTCTATTGACTCTTCTGGATCTTGTGCATGAAACTCAATATTTTCCTCGTCGTACTCTTCATGGCCTTGTGATAGAGCACTGGATATAAAGAGAACTAGGATCAACCAGGCCTTCATAGTGTGAGTGATAGAGATGGGGATGGAAATGGGTGGAAAAGAGCTTGGGTGGAAATGTGCAATCATGAATAAAGGATTGAATATTCATAGTCCACTAGAACTGCTACACATCATCATCACATTGTGCACCTTATCACATGTCAATCTACTGATTATCATATCAGTCTAACTAAAAGTGGGCACGTTCATTGAGCAATGGAGTCAAGCTTTACTACTCTTAGCCTTTTCATACTATTCCTCTCTTTTGGTTCCCTTGTCCTCTCTGATGGTGATGATGATTACACTGGTGTCTTTAACATGAAGGCCGGCTCAGACTGTAAATACAACGTGATGCATTTTGATGAAGATGGGATTGTTGGTTTCCGTGTTCAGTGCTCTTGCCCTGGCACCCATAAAAGACTCACTTACTCTTGTGCTTATTTTGGAAAGCCCAACATCTGTCCTGGCTTTAATGAGACCTCAATTGCTAGGGCAAACTTTTACTCTGAGCTAGCAAGCTATGTGAAAGGTAAGAGAGAGAAAGAAAGAGAGAGGGGAAGATATAAAATAGATGTAAGTGAAGAAAAGGAGGCATAATATTATAGACTCTTAATTTATCTCTTCAGGCTATGGTGGTCATGGATGCAGTAGTAAAGAGATTCAAGCTGACAGAGTTACAACAATTTGCAAGGGGACACCTCTCGTTTTAAAGAGGACTATAGAAATCAATGGAGATGATCCAAGACTTTGCAATAAAAGACATTCTGAACTTTAAAATAAATATATTACATGATTATTATTATTATATCTTGATCTCAATAAATATAACTTTAAAATAGCAACTAAAAGTATAATTCGACTTCCCGTGCTTGCGTAGGCGGGTACTAAGCAACATAGCAATTAATCAATGTTTTGTTACTATTTTTAGTAACAGCCTAATAGGTCTCGTAATAATTACATTGTTTTATTCACAGGTTTTAATCATGCAACCGGAAAGTGGCTACAGCAGTATCGTGCAATCCTCACTAAACGGGCCATTCACTTCAAGCGGTTTTATATAGGAGCCGTGTGTCAGCTCTTGCCACTTTTTATAATCATATGCAGTTTGGTCATTTCTGAAACTCTTGTGTCCCAGTATCACAGCGACAGAAGCTTTCATTTGACGCTAGAGAAGGCATCACTGACTGATAATAGAACAATCTTTCATGCAGCATTTGTGAACCAGTCCTTGCCATTTGAGGTAGGAACTACATACATGTAATTTTAATACCAAAAATAATCTATTAAGAATGAACGACCTTATATGGTCAAGACTGAGTTAAGCACATTGAGCTGGCTCACTTTTATGATGGAGATGATACCGAAATCCCAACATAACTGTAAATTTGTCTTCCCCGCAAAAAAGAGCTAATTTGGAATGACTAAAATACATAATATTATTTTTATATTAATTATTTTTTCTCATTTTATTCATAGGATCTTTTGGGTAAATTTGGTACAACTGATGTGTTGAACTATACACGTCAGATTATTAATATCAAGGAGAATACTAATGACAACAGAAATGCCAGTCGGTGCTGCTCATATCATTATCAAATATTAGACAAATATTGTGCAACTTTGGATAAGGTGAGGAATTTTATGTAATAGAATTTTAATTATGATTTGTATGCTTAATTTTAATGGTCTTTGGCCCGATTTTGGACCAACTTTAACAATTATTTCATAAACAATCCAATTATGACCAAAATAAGCTCAAACTTTCTACACAACTTAAGTACATGTATACATATCAGAAAAATACATAAAAGCAAAAAATTTTTCTCCTGCCTATTTTTGAGGAATTTCTGAGGAAACTTAAATTTTGCAATTTGAACTTTTTAATTTTGTCATTGATACCATTATATTTTTAGGATGAATTAATGTCTGTATGTAGAGATGTGGAGGATTTTGGGTATTCACAATGTCTTGACCGATGCTTAAAGTTAGCGTCAATTAATTAATTTATAATGTTAAAATTATGTTAATTATTATCCCTTTAATAGCTGTTGCAATGCTACAAGGAATCGACTTCCATCCTGCACTAATCCAAGATATCAAATAATAGACAGTAACTACCCGTACACCCCAGCATCAGAATACTGCCCTGTACCTCCTAAAGTATCACTGGTATCATAATAATACATTTAAATGCACTCATTTATTATAACTTATAGTTATATATCATTGATATTCATAGTAATGGTTAATAATAATGTGAAAACATGCAACAAAATTAATTTCCTTATTATTGTTATTATTATTATTATTATTATTATTATCACTACTATTATAGGAAGATTATTCTGATCCTGTTGGCCCACTTGATGACATCAATACATTTGTAGCAGAGCACCTTCTGTCACTCCAGGACTCTGACCCCTCCTTTTATAGAACTGTACTTGGAGGATTCACCGTTTCATCTCGTGCACCCACTCACTCAGTTTGTGGGTGTGAGGAAACCGAAGGAGTTTGTACGAGTTCTTTAAAGAAAGTTGAATTTTTAAATTCGGTTCCTCTCCGTCAAAACTGCTCTAATATCCTCTCCATTCCTTACTTTTGTAGTGACAATGAGACTTTCCTTGGCATAACATTACAGTCTGATTTCAGCCAGATATTGGAATATACCATACAGCAATCTTCTCTTAGCATTGACAATAATACTGATAATGATATATGCGAGATGTATCCAGCTACTGGTGGATCACCGTTATTACAGGCCACTGATTGCATAAGTATCATCAACGGTTTGAATAGCAGTGGTTGTATAACTATTAACAATAATCCTTTGTCGACTGTCTGTGTTGACATTAGCTGCTCTGATTGCAGTGTCTCTAGTAGCATTAGCTCACAGTATGGTCATTGTAATACTTGGAAAGATGAGGAGAATTATGAACCTGTCATTACGCTGTGGTATAACAACCAGGTAATAACGAATATAATTATAAAACAGACCTATTAATGCTAAAGTAATTGATTGCTGTATGTTTTGTCTCAACACCTTTTTTGCAAGTATTTATAATAATATTTTTGTTATTTTTTTTATCTTAGGCTTATCATCTTTCTCCTTCTCTTCTTAACACTCTCCACAATCTCTACCTCCATTCCTCTGGATATGGCAATAAGTCCATTAATGTACACAACCATCCACTCCCCCGTCATCCCTCTAGTACACTGGACACTGCTTCCATTGACATCATTACTTTTGCTGTCGGTATTTTGTCAATGTTTGGATACTGCTTCCTCCTAGCTAGCATGTCTCTCTTTATTGTACAAGAGAAGTCATCAATGGTATGAAATAAATAAATGCATTCATGTCCTTATAAAGGAGAAGAATATTGATTGATGCTATTGTCAATGTATTTGCTTATTATTGTTAACCTTTTTACTTTTTACTTGTCCTGTTTTTAGGCTAAGCACTTACAATTGTCATCCGGCTTAAGGTTGTCTGCTTACTGGCTTGCTAACTTTACCTGGGATCTCATCACTTGTCTCTTGCCTGTATCTTTCACTATTGTTATTTTTGCTGTCGGGCAGATATGGGTCGAGCAATATTCTGGTTACACTCTAGCTGCTGTAGCTAGTATTTTTGTAATGGTGTGTTGGGCCCAGATTCCAGCGATTTACCTCCTCTCGCTTCCTTTCAAAGATATATACACGGCTTACACTTCGTTATTTCTGATACTATTCATTCTTTCATTTTCCTCAATGTCCATTACATATGTCATTGGGCCTCTATCTGGCTACAGAGACACCGAAGACATTCTCCATTATATATTCCTCATTAATCCCAGCTATGGGCTAGCTACGTCTCTAAGTGACTTGTACACTAATTCTGTTGTGAGGAGCGTATGCACTTCTTCCAGCACTGCTTACATCATATGCGCTCAGAGTGAAGCAAGATATACCGACAATCCATTTCGATTTTCAAGGCCAGGGGTTGGCGCTGTATTAGTGTATTTTTTTGTTGAGGGAATCCTCTATTTTTCTCTAACTTTATTGGTCGACCATTACAATCAGATCAAGCAGTATATACTGAAGAGAAGAGGGGTCACATCTCAGAAGATGGTGGAGAAAGCAGTTGAGGAAAACAGGAGATTACTTAAAAGTCGAGAACTCCAGAGAAATATGTCTATCTGGAGAAGAGATGCAGAGAGAGTTGGAGGGAGCTCACTCGCATTAAGTCAACGGTTTCCTTCTGGGCCTCTCCTTGATGGCAGTGCCTGGAGAGGAATTAGTGATGCTGTCCAACCGCCTAAGAGCAGAGGCAAAGTCAATGAGGATGACTCTGTCAAGAAAGAGAAGGTATTTGTTAACAATTTATTGCAGAGAGGCGAAGTCCCTAAAGATTGCACAGTAGCCATTGGACGCTTATCGAAATATTACAACAATAGCTTTTTGGATCAAGTCAAAAGTGCTTGGAAGTTCGAGCCGCTGAGAGAAGCTGCAGTCCAAGACATGAACATTGCCCTGTATGAGAGACAGTGCTTTGGTCTACTGGGATATAACGGAGCAGGGAAATCTACTACTTTTAAAATGTTGTGTGGAGAAATATCAGCAACTACTGGGACGGCACTCATAGCTGGCTATGATATAAGGTACATAAAATTAACCACTCTCTTCTTTTATCTTTTTCCATAGGACACAGCTTCGTGCAGTACAGAGGAAAATTGGCTACTGTCCTCAATTTGATGCACTCATAGAGACACTGACTGGTAGAGAAACCTTGACTTTGTTTGCCAGATTGAGAGGAATAGAAGAAAAGAGGATAAAAGATGAAGTTTCGTCACTAATTGATAAAATAGGGTTGAGAGATCATGCTGACAAACAATGCTGGAAATATAGGTAATTTAAACTAATAAAGCTTACTTATTCAAATTATTCATAGTATAGGATGTGTTTAAACTCATTTATATTATTTTTTAATCATTTTTTGCAGTGGTGGAAACAGACGTAAGCTAAGCACAGCAATAGCCTTGCTTGGGAACCCTCCTGTCATACTGCTGGATGAGCCAACCTCCGGAATGGACATTAAAACTAAACGGGACTTTATTAATACTCTGAGCCGAATAATTAAAGAAGAAAATAAGACAGTTATATTCTCATCTCATAGGTAAATATCGACTTGTTACGGCCTTATTATTTTTATCATTTTTAGTATGAGTGAGTGCGAGTCTCTATGCAACAGAATTGGTATAATGATCAATGGAGAGTTTAGAGTTATCGGCTCTACAGAAAAACTGAGGAGCAAGTGAGCTATAAAATAGTATCATCATCATTATTACTATTATTACTATTATTTTCAAGGTATGGTGATAATAGTACTAAGCTAACTATTCGTGTTGAGCACTGTGCAGCTAGTGAATTGGAACAGGATGAGGATGAGTATTCAATGGAAGAGAGCACCACTGTAATTAATAACCATTTCCTTCAAGTTCCTCAACCGTCTCCAATGCCTCTAAGAAGAGCTTTTCCTCAACCTCAAAATCTTAATCGAAGGTTGTCCATAGTATCACAGGCTCCTCTCCATCAGCCAAGAAGACCAACAATAAGGACCTACTCTCGACTCAAAAGCATTGGAAAAGTAGCAAGGGAGTTTCTTCCATTTCAGGGGGCACCAACTGCACAAAGAGAAGGAACTGATGGAGCTGTAGATGAATCTCCTGATGAAGAGATTTCAGATAATCCTTACTTGCGACATGTCTGTTTAAAAATAAGGCAATATTTCCGTGGAAAAGAGGACATCACATTAATAAGTGCAGAGAAAGATGAAGTCACTTATAAGCTACCAAAATATGATGTCCCATTGTCAGAAATATTCCAATTAATTCAGTTACTAAAGTCTGATCCAAGCTGTCATATAACTAGCTATAGTGTCAGTCAGTCAACATTAGAACAAGTAAGCTTCTGACACGTGCATGTATGTTAAATTGTTAATGCACTCCTTCTCTACCTCTTTTTTGTGCCAGGTTTATAGTCATTTTATTCGAGAGCAAGAAGAGCAAGAAATGAAAAAGAAACAGACAAAAGAAGAAATGTAATGACTATTTAATATTTATTGTATTGTTATTGTATAGTTTGTTGCTCATAATGATTATATAAATAATTTGAAGATATTTTTAAAGTCTGGCAGACTGGCACAGTCGTGTTTTAATACATTTAAAATGTATAGAATTTATATATTCTTGCTGGCTTTATCCATTGTGTTAGCAATGACATTCATAAATCACCACAGCAAAAATTGAGCCACACATGGCCTTATGAATAATGTTTGAAGGTCAGCACTCAGCACTGATTCAAGCCCTGATTGCAGCCCTGCAAACATGCAAAAGTTGCAAACTCGTCAATCACGTGACTCCCACCATACTAATAATACATGTCACGTGAACAGGAACCTGCGAACTTGCGAAGCAGTCATTTTTGTTACATAAGATTGTCTCTTCTCTTACTCTCGACAGCAACTGTTCAAGATGAAGTCTTTCATTGTCCTCGTTTGTCTTTTTGCTTATGCCAACGCTCACGCTTGCATGTTGTTTCCAGCCCAGCGTGGCCCAATACCAAATGATATTCTAGTAAAATCAGGTTAGTGTAGGCATATCTATGATGCAGGCCCATTTTAGGATTTATATACCAAATGGGAATGACTGTAGCTGGGAGGGTCTGGGGAACAAGACTATATTAATAGTTGATTTTTAATGCTTTTTATTATAGGTGCCGATACTTGCCTGGTTATTAAGGACCCTCCTTGTGGTGGTGCTGAAGCTGAAGACCCAAAGGTTTCCTTTACGTAAGACGATACTATTGCATATAGTACGTAAGCACTCATTCTTCCTATACAGTGCAGGTAATAATGCTACAGTTGATATACAGAAAAATCTTGACCACTTCTACTCTCAGAATCCAGTACACTTTCTTCAAGCATGACATTCGTTGATCATATTGTTATAATTATAGGGAAGCTGGGAGGTATTCTTGTGGGATGGTGGCTCTAGTGGTAAATCTGTAGCTAAGTTTGCTGATTCCAGTGATTTCAAGACACTTGATAACAAAGCTGTTACTGTCATGATCCCCTCTGATGCGTAAGACAACTGAAATAAATTATTGTCATTATCCATTTATATATATTTTAGTGGCAAGGGAAAAGCTATCCTTCAGGTAAATTCAGAATAATATTATTAAAAATAGGTATTATTATTATTTTTTTATACACAGCTTATCTACACTACCAACAACCCCAATGCTCCTGCTATGTTTTACCAGTGTGCTGACGTCATGATCAATTGATCATACTGAGAAGGCTGAAGAACTAACTTGCTGCTTATAGAATACTTTTTGATACTTTTGTCCTTTGATTTTAGGCTGCTATTTGATTTTAACAATAATATAGCTTTAAATAAACCGTGTTTTTAGGAATTCTTAATAATATAGCAATGAATTAAGCATGCATGCATAATGTTGTAAAGGTCAATGCAGGGTCAATGTTAACAGTTATGCTGACATAGCTGTTTTCAGTTTGCATTTTCAGCAGTCATTTAAAATGAAGTTCTTTATTGTTCTTGCTTGTCTTTTTGCTTATGCAAATGCTCATGCATGCATGTTGTTTCCTGAGCAACGTGGCCCAATTCCAGATGACATTTTGACTAAGTCAGGTTAGCAACTGTATACTGGTAGTGTGGAATCACATACTTGATTTTAATAGGCGTTGATGCTTGTCTGGTAATCAAGGACCCTCCTTGTGGTGATGCTAAAGCTGAAGATCCAAAAGTTTCTTTTACGTAAGATAATGATAATCTCCCACTTTTACTGTATACACTCATACAGTCCAGGGAATGCTACAGTTGTTGTAATTAAAAATCTTGACCACTTCTACTCTCAGAATCCAGTAAGACTTAGATTGCAGACATTATTGGGGCATTATCATTGATTTTATTATGATTATAGGGAAGCTGGGAGCTATTCCTGTGGGCTGGTGGCTCTAGTGGTAAATCTGTTGGTAGGTTTGCTGATTCCAGTGATTTCAAGACACTTGATTTCAAAGCTGTTACTATCATGATCCCTTCTGATGCGTAAGACAAAATAAATTGCTATTCAAAATCATTTCTTTTTGTAGTGCCAAGGGAAAAGCTATCCTTCAGGTAAGTTTAGAAAATAAACATTACGTCTATAGGTCTTTTATTTATTTTTATACGCAGCTTATATACACTACAAACAACCCAAATGCTCCTGCTATGTTTTACCAGTGTGCTGACATTTTGATCACAGACACAGAAAACTGATGCTGAAGAAAATAACTAACAATAATGCTATAGCTATTAAACTGCTCTGTACTTTTTACATAAAATTTTTGTGATATCTCTCGAGATAATTAATTTCATTGCGAGCAAGTCAGCAAAAAATTTTTTTGCGAAGATTGACCCAATGCGCATGCTCAGACGTCACGTGGATCTCTTTTGACAAGAACCGCCATGGGTAAGTAATGGAAGACATTGTTAGTGTAGAAATCATCACGAATCTTCATATAGACCTAAAACCAAGAGCTTTAATTATACCAATTCTTTCTTTGTGCAGGTATTTCAAGGGATAGCTGGCATAAGAGGAGAGCAACTGGCGGCAGGAAGAAAACAATCAGAAAAAAAAGAAAGTTTGAAATAGGTCGTCCTGCTGCTAATACAAAGGCAAGTGGCAAATGTCTCCTAATTTGTGTGTGATGACATTCTTTTTAGATTTAAGTATACCTAATTATTATATGGTATTTATTTTATTTAAATTACCTATTTATAGATTGGAGCCAAGCGTGTGCGTGCAGTAAGAACCAGAGGAGGTAACAAAAAGTTTAGGGCTCTGAGACTCGACAGCGGAAACTTTTCGTGGGGATCTGAGGGTAAATAATTAAAGGGGTGGAGCATATATATATATATGATACTGGTATTTGTGACAGGCTCTACTCGTAAGACTAGGATCTTAGATGTAGTGTATAATGCTAGCAACAATGAGCTGGTAAGGACAAAGACCCTCGTCAAGAACTGCATAGTTCAAATTGATAGTACTCCTTTTAGACAATGGTGAGTTTTAGGCCACATTTACACAGCAACGAAAATGATGCAATCAGTATAGTTTTGTGCCTGTTTTATGCTTCTGTTTACACAGAAACGAATGAAAACCTGATAGAATCTTGATATGGAAACGAGACCATGTTAAACGATGCGTTTTGCGTTGCTGTGTAAATGTAGCCTTATTTGTTACTTTTAGATATTTTATTTTGTTTTTAAGGTATGAATCCTACTATGTTCTTCCTATTGGTCGCAAGAAGACATCACGAAAAGACAAGGACAAAGAGGTGGGCGTGGAATGGGTGTGGTCTATTATAACCCCTTATAGGACAAAGAAGCCAAAGATCCTGAGAGCGATGTTTTGACTCAGAAGCGATCGAAACACGTAAAAAGGAAAATTGCCAAGAGACGACCTAATGCTAAAGTAGACCCACACGTTGAGGAACAATTTTTAACTGGTCGACTATATGGTAAGAAAAAAATAAGTAATGTATTAATGTAAAAATAATTGGGAAGGAGTGAGTTAATTTTGGCTGTTTGTTTATTGACAATTAAGTCACTGTCATGCTCAGAAAACAGAATGAAACAAAATTGTGGATTTTACATTGCTGTGTATAACATTCAATTTTTATGGTTTTATTAAGTGTGCTTTAAATTTGGGCCAAGCCATGGCCCTGGATACCAAAAATGGCTAGGGAAGAATTTTAATCTTTTCTGATGCATGTACATGCTCTTGTATTGTGTTGAAAGTTTGAGTTGATTCTGATCAAAATTGGATTTTTTATGAATTTTAAAAGTTGCTCCAAAACCTGACCAAAGTCCCTGTAGGGACTTTCAAATTTCAATGAAAATTGCTAGAAGAGAATTCTTTATTTTTATAATTAATTTTGATGCATGTACATGTACTTGTGTGGTTTGAGCTGATGCCATTAAAAATTGCTGTACTATAGACCACCCAAAGTGAGAATTGCTTGCGTGGGAAAACTATTACGGTTGTAAGGCGTAGTTTACAATGAAATAAATTCCGGACGCCATTTTGGTTGGCAACTTTCAATGGAAAGCAAACGGGACGACATAAAATCAAACCTGTATTAAGAATTCTGGAGCGAATTTGACCAAATCTTTCACAGGATAAGCTTAAAGGTAGCTATTCTTTCTTATAACAAGCACTTTTTAGCTTTTGAAAGAGCTACAGCAGGTAAGTGAGGCATTTTCTTCGTTCCTCCATTGACTTCCTTAACAAATTTGCCAACCAAAATGGCAGCCAATTATGACGCGTGGGCGGATACTGTGTATAAAATTAATGAAATTCATAGCTTTTGCAATTCTCACTCTGGGTGGTCTATAGTACAGGGTATTTCATTGAAAATAGTTATGAGAGACAATCAAATTTTAAATTAATTGAGCTCGGAACTCCTGCTGTAACTTCCCCAATAGTCATTCACTGCCCAGTATTTCCAGCCATGCAGTATTAGAGTATTATATAATGTGTGTCTCTCTTTTTTTTACTTAGCTTGTGTGTCATCAAGGCCAGGTCAGAGTGGCAGATGTGATGGGTACATATTGGAAGGAAAGGAATTAGAGTTTTACCTGAAGAAGCTTAAATCAAAGAAAGGGAAATAGGAGAATGACACTTTGTTCCGCTTGCCTTATAATGCTCATTATTGATTATTGTTATTATAAAAGAATTTCCTTGTAAACAAGTTGATGTATTAATGTTAACATTGTTTGCACAGTTTTAGACAACAATGGTGTAACTATGAAGTATATCACATAATTAATAATAATAATAATAATAATGGTGGGAAAAGACTACTTTAATTAGTACTGATTCCTTATGGTAGGCATGTTCATTATATCTATAATGTTATCAGAGTCTATGGTATCATCGGAATCATTGTGATTCTGTATGGTAGGCATGTTCATTATATCTATAATGTTATTAGAGTTTATGGTATCATCGGAATCATTGTCATCCTCTCCACTCTCCTCAGAAGCATAGTGCAAGCCTGCTATCCTGCTTCTTCCTCCTGGTTTTGGCATAGATGGCTTCGGCTCATTTGATACTGTCAAACTTTGAAATGTGCTTAATATTCTTTGCTGCGTTTCTGGAGGAGCAGGATTCCATTGTCTTTCATCTCCTTGTCTCTGCTGTGAAACAATTAATTATCTAACGGGCATCCACCTGGCTACAAATTTGTGGCTGCTTTGATTTTCTGGTAACTATTAGCACAATGTCTTGTACACAATACAACGAAGCTGCCAGAAGATCAAAGTGACCACAAAGCTGCATCCAAAAGTTGATGCTCATCTATCTTTAATAGTACAAACCATGCATGCATCTATGAAATACCTGGTTCTCTCTTCTTATTTGTTCCTCAATCCTGTACTGCGAGTGAATGAATCCAGCTGCATTGTGAAAGTCTACACTCTCCATTTGTCTCTGGCTGCTTCGTGGTGGAAGTGGTGTGGGTGCATAAAACTCTTCCAGTTCTCTATCTCTTTGCCTTGCTTTGCGTGCAGCCACTGCTATGTCACACATGCATATAGTGAATAGCAGCCATGTACAGCAAATGAGAAAAACTACTACACCAGCTAGTACTAGTATTATCAATCCTACTTCATCAGCAAGAACGTCGTTCAGTGTTCTGTCAAGAATACAATAACGAGATTCCAGTAAATATAAGTTACTTTTGAGCTCTTGCTCCTTGTATCAGACAGCATACGGCTATGATCAGCTCAGGTTTCTTCATTCTAACACAAATTGCTGCTGCACTCACCCAGCCCCACCCTTTTGTACAAACAACATATGGGCGTGGCTTAAGTTATTAAGACTAAAATGGCGAGATGGTCCTGGAAGAAAATCTTTCTTTATGGAGCTGCAGCTGCAATTGGAGCCACTATACTGTTTGCTAATTCCCCTCTAGCCCTCCCTAAAAGAGTTCCTTTCAAACTGAGTCAGTTAGAAACTGCAGCACTGACATACATGGACGGGAGCAGCCGGTCAATAGCGGCCAGAGAACTCTGGAAAGATAGGGGAGCTGTTTTACTAGTTGTGCGTAGAGCTGGATGACCATTGTGCCAAGAGGTAAGGATAGACAAAATGAAATTTATATGGTATTTGCACTGACCACTGCTGCTTTACACCTCTAATTATTCTATGTTACACTGTCGAGTTAATAAATAAATAAATGAAAAAATTATCTTTATTTAAACAGGAGGCAGTGAAGGTCTCCTCTCTTCTTCCTGAGCTTGAGAAGCTCGGCATTCCATTGTATGGTATCGTTTCTCAGAAGACTGGGGCTAAGGGTTTCAAGGAATATCTGAAAGGGGATATACTGCTTGATGAAGAGGTATGGGCATCTCTAACACCAGTTTATTTTACCGTTACTATTACAGAAAGCATTTTACTCCGACAGATATTATTTGGGTAAGTTATAATTAATTTTTGTTCATGATTATATATAAGATGTATTCTTGCGTTATTAGGAATTTTACGCATTAATACTTTCCTTAATTATTTCCGTGCTTCATCGTTGTATAAAGAGACAAGAAAAGGAGATGGGACTTTGTTAGGATCCTGCCTAGTAATAGGTAACCACACTACATCTCTGTTACTCTCTTTGCCTTTTCTAGTGTCTTCTTTTAAACTAAATGTCATATTATTTATTTAGCATCCCTTCTCCTCTCTCTCCCTCTATGTGCCTATATAGGACCAGGTAACACTGGAATCATATATCAATATTTATCAAGAGAATTCAGCGATTATGTAGATCCACAAGAAGTGCTCAAAGCAGTACATACCATTCATAATGACAATAAATAAAAATTATAAATGAATAATAATAGTTATTAATAATAATGATGCTTGGTCGTGATGATGATGGCTCTCTTGGAAAACGCAGTGCAAGCGAGCTTGATGAGATTTCATGAACTTTGTATCAAAAATTAATAATTATTATTTAATAAAATTAATTATAATTATTTATAATACAAGAGATGGTATAAAATTATAATTTCACATTGTATTGCAATAACGCTAATATGTTTACTTTTCTATTTTCTTCCAAATCTTGATGAAAGCATCGATTGTCTATTAATGTACAAAAGTCATCAATTATTTCAAGCTTTTAACATGTACATATGTGCTAAAACCCTAAAATATAATAGTCTTTACTTTTTTCAAAAATTGGCCCATTATTTATTTTTTCGAGAAAATTTGCCAGGATAATTTATTTTTCCCAGGAAAATTTCCAAAAAAAAAATTTTGGGGGGGGGGGGAATTTTTCCCAGAAAATTTGCCAAGAAAATTTTTTTTCCGGCAGAAAATTAATTTTTTGGGGAAAATTATTTCAGAGCCAATTTATCATGGATCAACATATTCACCTGTTCTTAGCCATTTTAAGTGTTTGCTTCATTAGGTTAGATCCACCTCCTCCTCCTCCAGAGCTTGCACCAGCTGATAAAGAACCCGCCCTACGCTGGTACCCTCCTCCTCCTCCCCATCCTCTTGCTCTACTCCGAGGCAGTGGGCTTGATGTTTGTAGCATCGCAACTTTTCTTACTGTGACGCAAAGAATAACGCCCACACACTAATTAATACGAAGTACCTGGCTCTTCTCTTGCTTGCTGTCTTGCTTTAATTGAGCTTGTGATTGATTTCATCTTCTCCTCTCTATTAGCTAGTCTTTCCTAAATTATATCACAACGTTACTAAATATAGTAACTATAATGCATTACATCATATCAATGTGCCAAAGTCCCTGTACTATAGCAAGGCTGCAAAAGTCATGGCAGCCATTTTGTTTGGGGGTGAATCCTACTTAGTAACGCTACCGTATTACTAATAGTACAGGGATTTTGGCCAAATTTTGTCAAAATTGACTAGGAGAAAATTCTCCATTTTTATAATTTTTTCTGATACGTATACATGTTCTTATGTTGTGCTGAAAGTTTGAGCTGATTCTGATCAAAATCAAATTTTTTATGAATTTTTAAAGTTGCTCCAAAATCTGGTCAAACACCCTGTACTATAGTACAGGGATTTTGGCCAAATTTTGTCAAAATTGACTAGGAGAAAATTCTCCATTTTAATAATTTTTTCTGATACGCATATATGTTCTTATTTTGTGCTGAAAGTTTGAGCTGATTCCGATCAAAATTGGATTTTTTATGAATTTTCAAAGTTGCTCCAAAATCAGGCTTACTAGGTATAGATCTCTCCAAGACTGTCCTTCACTAGGTGTGGCATCTCTGAATAGCTTTTGTGTGTGTTTCTGCCACAAACTGTCGCTGTCTTCTAAAAAATGCTACTCACAAAAATCATTAAATAATTATAATACAGTTCAAACACTTACTGGATTCAACTCTTCTAATCTCATTAATTGTGTGGGTGTACACCTAGATATGCATGAGTCAAAATTATAATATTTGCATATAATTTTATTACTTTACAAGGACAGGCTCCAGTATAAAGAATGGTACACCACCAACTTCATAAATTGCTAATGAAAGTGATTACAATATTATAATAACACCGTCTTTCCTTTTCCTCCCTCTCTCTTATTACCTTCAATATTATTCACTAGTACATTCATGCACATATCGAAAAGACTTGGAACATCTTCATAATAAAAATAAACAAATATAAATGAGCACATAATATGTACATGTACATACATATATACAATAACATTCAAGTGAGTGTCTCGTAATATACATTGTACATACATTTCATTCCGGTAGATTTTCCAGAATATACTTTAGTCCTGGATCTCTTTGATAATGCCATGCTAATAGAATCACTATTATCAGCCACTAGCACTGGTGCTGAAAAAAAGAAGACAAAAAATATTGAGAAGAGAACAAAAAACAATGTCTACCTTTTCTCTTTCTTTGTATAGCATCACTAGACAATACTCTCTCATCCTCTATGCTTGACGGGAGGTAAGGAGGGGGAGGAGGAGCAGTAGGAGGAGTTACAATAGGAGGGATAGGAACAGCTACAGTGTGACTAGGAGGGACAGAAGTTGATGGTTCTTCGGTAGTCGAGGGAAGAAGTTGCTTCCATTGACGGACTAGTTCTTTGCTCCTCCTACCAACGTCACCGTCTCTCTTACGTAACGAGTTAACTATCTTGCCAATACCAGTTACCTTATAAAATTAAGCATTAATTATTATTATACATTAAATTAGAGTCAGTTATATAGTTTTAAACAGGAAATAGGTATTGATGCTAATGCATGTACAGAAAAACCACGATCCACACATGCTCAACCATGAACTATACAGTATACACACATTTATCTCTTGTCTCTTTTGTATATTGATTGATACATCACTGGGTATTGTGATACAAACAATGTGTAGAATAATGGTGAGTGTTGTTTGTTCTCTTAATACTACACCATAGTCACCATTGGTGACTATGGTGTAGTATTAAGAGAACAAACAACATGCTTTGTTTAGTTAGCACGATATTGGATGCAAACACATAGCTATACACACTCTCACTCCTGTTGCAAGAGAAGTGTGACGTGAAGTGACTGCTTTCTTACTTGTAGTATGTCCAGTGACATGTGAATTGTGGTCAATTGCTGCAATATTTTTTGTATTTTTCTTTCCTAAAAACACTTTTTACTGATTGCCTGGCAGCACCTGTCACTCACCTTTCCTTCATTGTTATTTCCCTCTTGGTTTCTCTTTGCATAATCAGAGAGCTTCTCTGCTAGCTTCGTTACAAGACGTACTGTTGTATGCTCGCTTGACATTTTAATTCCAATTTTACTTTTAGGCGTGGCATTAGAATACCGTATTAGACTTTATAATCTCAATCTAGATCTAATACGGTAGAAGATAAAAGTAAAATTAAAATTTTCATGATCGAGCCACACCTTTTAATTGCTGATTGATGAGCTGAGAAGTGTGAACTGTAAGTTACTTTTGAAGCAGTGAAGAGCTATGGACGATCGAGTGGAAGACATCCAGATGACTGGAGCGGCCGAGGAAGCAGCCCATTTTCCAGATAAAGAAGCAAGCGAGGCAGACATAGATCAGTCCGTAAAGGATGAGAAGAAGACTAGTGAAGAGTATTATTTTGGTTGTGGTCCTTTTCATCCAAATTGCCTCCAGATCCTGTTTAGGAGAAAGAAATTCTTCACTTTCCTCTTAGCGGCTTTTAGTTTCTTGCAATCAGCTGTTATATCAGGTTAGTGAATCTTTTACAGTCTGTATCTATTCTAAGTAACAACTGGCATCAGTGACATGCATTACAAAGTATGTAATTTTCTCATTTATAGTAAGAGTTCATATATGTGCGTAAATTTAATTTGATTATTGCAGTTGATGTAATGAGTGATCTCATTCATGTCCTTTTAGGTTTCATCTCGTCTGTAATTTCCTCAATTGAGAGACGATACAACTTATCCAGCACTCAAGCAGGCATAATGGTCATTACGTATGACATAACAGTCACAATCAGCGTCGTCTTTGTGAGCTACTTTGGTGCGAAATCCCACCAGCCTAGACTGCTAGGTTTGGCAACTCTTCTAATGGCATTTGGTGCTTTTTTATTCTCTCTTCCTCACTTTATACTGCAAGTTGATGAGCACTCCAGTGATAATGATGGAGCCTTACGTCAATACTGCTCTAATAATGCCAACTCCAGCTCAACCGAGGACTGCTCCAACGTGAACACAATTGCATATGCTATTTTTATTATCAGCAATATTATATTAGGCATAGCATCATCTCCTATATACACTATTGGTGTTTCATACTTGGACGAGATTGCTTTTCCACGCTATGTCTCGCTCCATATTGGTATGATCAGTACCACTCTCATTCTTGGCCCTGTCGTTGCTTTTGGACTTGGAAGCATATTTCTATCAATTTATGTCAACCCGTTAGCAGATACTTCACTCACAACAAGTGATCCAGCTTGGGTTGGGGCCTGGTGGATGCCATTTCTCATATCTTCTTTCTGTCTATTTATTTTGGCCATTCCTTTTTTAATGTTCCCACGCTATCTGCCGGACAGTCCTCAAGTCTGGAAAGAGAGAGCTAAAGAAATGGCAAAGATATATTCAAAGAAATATGCAAATGAGAACAGCACTAGTATAGTCTTTAAAATGTTTCCTACACACATTAAGCGATTGATTCTTAATCCTTCCTTCATGTTTGCTGTACTGGGTCTCTGTATTCTGTACATCTTCCTACAAGGTGTTATATCATTTGGTCCAAAGTTTTATGAAGTTCAATTCAGGTTCACTGCTTCAACCTCTACACTGCTGGTAGGAGGGACCACTATACCTGGAGCTAGTCAGTTTACATTTGTATTATCATATTTCTAATCATTATTATCATTATTATTATTATTTTATAATTAGTTTTTGGAACTCTTACTGGTGCTTTTGTGGTTTTTGTTTGCAAGATGAAAGGAAAAGGCAATATGTTATTACTGGCTGTATCGACCTTTATTTTAACTTTATCTTCTTTTGCCATGCTCCTCCATTGTCCCAATATACCTATTGTCGGATTAACAGAAAATGGGTAAGTGGTGTTAGAAGTAATTGAGTAATGTCCATTCTGTTATTGAGGTAGGTTTGAAGAGAATAGCTGTAGCGCATTGTGTAACTGCAGTGGTACTGATTTTATTCCAGTTTGTGGAAATGGACAAACGTATCTTTCTCCTTGCCAAGCTGGTTGTATGCAGCAATTAGGAGTAAGCATATAGACTAAAAAGTAAATCCACTTTTACTTAATATTTTTAGGATTCAAGCTATGATAACTGTACATGTGTCATTGCTAGCAGTAATACTAGTACTGATAATCCTATTGATGATACTGCAACCAATGGTTACTGTCAACCAGACTCTTGTCTATCAATTATTATTCCTGCCGTTATAATTTTACTATTGCTGTCGTTCATAGTCTTTATGCTCACACTACCTTATATGCATTTTGTGATAAGGTAAGGCTAATTCAATAAAACTAAATATGTGTATTATAGATGCATAATGTTAATTGGCAATGGCTTCAGTTCAGTCATAGTGCTTCATAACAATGTTGTATTTTTAGGGTTGTTTCTGATGAACAGAGGGCACTAGCTTTAGGCCTTCAATCAGCAATGAATAGGGCACTGGGTAATGTCCCTGGCCCTCTAATATTTGGAGTTTCATTTGATGCTTCGTGTATACTATGGGAAGAAGAATGTGGCCGTAGAGGCAACTGTCTTGTATATGATAGTAATAAATTGTCTATTTACCTTTTGTCAATTGCTCTGCCTTGCATTTCCATTGCAGCTTGCTTGTTCTTTCTAGCATGGCTGACGTATCCAAGACAGAGAAAACAGGAGACAATTGACAATTAATTATAAAATTTATTTATTACACATTTGTGTTGCAAAGCAATTTAAATCATCATATTATCTAATTAAAATTTTGATTTTTAATTTTCATTTATTTTTGTCATACAGTTTTATTGCATTTAAAAACTCTCTTAGAACTTTGTTCATCCATGTCCCACGAGTTGGGAGCATTCCTTCTAAAAAACCAATGTGTCCTCCATGAGATGGTACAACTAGAACAGCATCATCGTTAGCACAGAAACCATCAATTGGCAAGACTAGTTATTAAAGAAATAAAGTGCATGTTTCTTCATTCTTATAACACACGTACCTTTCTCTGGTACAAAGGGATCATTTTCAGCATTAATGCTTAGCAGTGGAGTCTTGACTTGGTGGAGTTTGTTACCATTGGTGCCATTTTCATAATACTCCCATAAACTGTCGTAACCAAATGCAGGAACTGTGATGGCTTCATCAAACTCTCTTATAGTGGAGCACTAATGACGTTATTATCATTTCAAAATACTAGCTCATGTAATGTTATTACTTTTTTTGCTTTCTGCATCAGTTCTTCTCCCTGCTCCTTTGTCATTGCACCTTTTTCCATCAGATGCTTACAATTCCTGTCAAAAATTCAATGTAAACTGTTGTCATATTAGTTATTATTATCCATACTTGTTTATGTAATTCACAAGTAGCTTAGTCAAGTGTCTGTTATAGAATAGCCAGTTTAATGGCTTTTCTAATGTTTCGAATAACGTCACGTGTGCATCCCACGATGAAGAAACAGTTGCTACTCCAGCCAGTCCAGAGTCCCTTCCTCTTTCTCTTAAATGTTGTACAAGTATAATTCTAAATACAAGCCAAATGGCATACTATTATGAAACTGAAAGCAACCCATACCCTCCTATTGATATTCCAATGCCAACTACTGGTACATTAGGCCAAGAAGAGTGAATGTACTTAAGAACTGGCTCAAGATCATCAGTATTGGCACAGTAAGCTCTTGGAGTCTGCATTGAATGCACATGATGTAAAGAAATTTCAATAAATAAATGAATACTTTTAATAGTAATCCTCCCAATCCTCTGAAACTCATTACTACTGGTCTATATCCTTCACTGAGTCCATCAGACACAAGCCACTGGACGTAGACCACCTTACTTGAAGCTAATCATAAGTAATAATACCGGTAATTAATACTATTAATAATGGAAATACATACACGTTAGTCCAGTAAGAATCAGTAGAATTGGCGAGTCATCTTTAATTGAATGCACTTCAGGATCAGCCCAATCTAATGCTAGACTCCCTCCATCAGAAACGTTAAATATTTCCCTAATTAACAATGATAACAATTAGCATAATACTAGTAGTAGATCTATGCCTACCTTTTATAAGTTAGTCCACTGGGTGGTCGCTGGAGTGCTAGTCTGCCTATTGTGATGACATGAGCATTAATGGCCCACCATGTTGGCCAGTACTTTCTACTCAGACTAGGGCAGTGAGCTAGAATATGCTTGTAAAAGCTTCCAGTCTTTTTTCCATATATCCTAGGCCTCCTCACTTTCTTAAACAAGTAATAAGCAGTATAAATGAAGCAGAGAGCCGAGCATACACTACAACACAGCAACAAGGCCATCTGTAACTTTCCAATTTGGATTTCCACAAAAAGAAGGTGGGGCTATGCCCATGCACAATAATAATCATATTCATAGCTAATACTCAATGTGTGGGTGTAATTGCATTATGTTTATTTCATTGAGTTCAGTTCTGATTCAACAGCTTCAACAAAAGCAGGGAATGTACTATCAGTGAGACAGAGTCTAATGAACTGTGAGAGCTGATCAGTTGGTAAATGCGTTGAACTGATGTATGCTTGCTGCAATGGCTTTTTACTAATAGACTAAGAGAGAGAGAATGAGGAGTGCCAGTTAGTATTATTTTACTTGTGCTCTTTCTCTCAGTGATTCTCCCTCTTTACTTGATCCTGATGTCTCTTCCTGAGAAATCTGACTAATGTCATCAATTACTTTCACTGGCATAAGACCTCTTAAAACAGAAACGGCATCTCGACAGTTCTCAACTCCAGTTCTTGCCAGACCAACTCCAGAAGTCCCTCCACTTAGTTTTATTCTAAAACGTCTGTTTGACATCTATTGCAAATAAAATAAAATTAATACCGGTAAGGCTGTGATTCTTACCTGATGATGATACAAGAATAATATACTGTCGCCTTTAGCTACTCCTTTGATCCAATTTGATGTTCCCCACAATATAAAACTTTCCTATTCATAAAAAGCAAAGAAAACAGGGTTCCTCACAAAGCATGCCTCGCCTTTGGCCAGATTTTTGAGAAACTTCAAAAATTCATAAAAAATCCAATTTTGATTGGAATTTGCTCAAACTTTCTACACAATATAAGTACATGTATATGCACCAGAAAAAATTATAAAAATGAAGAATTCTCTCCTACTCATTTTTCATGAAATTTGACCAAAGTTCCTGTACTATAGTACAGGGACGTTGGCCAGATTTTTGAGAAACTTTAAAAATTCATAAAAAATCCAATTTTCATCAGAATTTGCTCAAACTTTCTACACAACATGAGTACATGTATATATATTTTAAAATGAAGCACTATACCAGAATCTAGTGAAAAACCATAACCAGGTCATTAACTCATGTGCAAAGAGAATAGCTAGTGACAGATACATATTACACTAACTAACCAGTGTGGTGTCTCCGTGTGTTATCATAAAGTGGTTTTTATTAATAAGCACTAAGAGAATCTGTTTACCAGGTGAAGAGTTGTAATGCTAAAAATTGCAGCAGCTGGTGATATTTGAATGATTTTTAAAAATATTCATATTCAAACCTGCCAGCTATTTCCTTCTCCTTGATCCTGTGACAAGCTTAATGCTGAAGGCTCCCGTGATGCTACAAGTCTAGCATACTTATCCACCAGCCAAATCTGTTTGCTCTCATTCATTCTAGTCTCGCGTAGCCAGACCACGCCCTCCGTACCTGCGGGGTAGTGGTCTGGTGTACTGAGCTTGGCAAAGTTGTTCAAAGGCTGACCGTCGGCTTGGTCAGTGAGAACTACGTCAGACCAGGAGCAATAAAGCTAATGAATTAGGCATAATTAAAAATGCGTGGTCAAAATCATTTTGACCGCGCCTATTTATGGAAGATAAGCTAGAAAAGTGTGTTTTAGAAGCTGCCAGTCGTTTTGGGTTTTCTTTGAAAGAAAAACAGCTTGAAGCTATTATGACTTTCATGTCTGGCAATGATGTGTTTGTGTCACTTCCTACAGGATATGGAAAGTCTTTGATATATGCACTTTTACCTGTAGCATTTGATTTATTCAAAGGTTAGTTTAAATAAAAATGATACTGAACATTAATCCAGGTATTATACAGAACAATATGGCAGCATTGTTATCTGTGTCAGTCCTTTGGTATCCCTCATGATGGACCAGAAAGCAAAGTTTTTACCGATGGGCATTGTTGCTGAGTTTGTAGGTGAAGGTCAACTTGATTCGACTGCAATAGAGAAGGTGCTTCATGGAGATATCCAACTGCTATACATCAGTCCGGAAAGTTTGATTTGCAATCCCATGTATAGGAACATGCTGTTATCTCCTATATACAAAAATAAATTGGTTGCATTAGTTATAGATGAAGCTCACTGCATCAAATCATGGTCAGTAATGTAGTAATAAATGTTCTTACATGTACGCTTTGCACCAATTTGTAGGGGTGATAGCTTTCGTGTTGCATATGCCCATCTTGGAGACACGCGAAGTTTAATACCATCACATGTTAATATATTAGCATTGACAGCAACAGCAACTAAACATACTTTTCGTATTGTCTGCCAGAGTTTATCTCTGAGGGAACCAGTTTTAATAGGGTGTTTACCTGATCGAAGTAACATATATTATGAAGTGCAACCTCTGCCTGAAATAGAAGAGTTCTGTGAGGAGATAGCCAAGGAACTGAAGGAAATGGGTATGGAATATCCTAAGACTATAATCTTTCAACAGAACTATAGCGATTGTCAAGTTATGTACCGTATACTGTCACGAAAGTTAGGACCTTATATTACATTCCCACCACACCACCCAAAGCATCTGGAATTTGCTATGGTAATGAAGTATACACGGGCATCTACTGTAGAAGTAAAGGAGAGCGTTTTAAGGTCTTTTAGTGATCCGAAAGGAATATTGCGTATTGTACTGGCGACTACTGCCTTCGGTATGGGGGTTGATGTTGCTGATGTCCGAGTTATTTATCACTGGCGTCCTCCTTCCAGTCTAGAACAGTATGTTCAGGAATCAGGCAGAGCAGGACGTGACAATAAGCCATCTAAAGCTATTCTACTATATGGAAAGCCTAGCAAATTTGTAGAACAAGGAGTCAAAGATTATGGAAACAACAAAACCAAATGCCGCAGGCAATTGTTACTCAACGATTTTTTATTTGTTATGAATCATGATTCAACTGATAATGATAATAATAATTGTTGTGATGTATGTATAAAGCTGTAAATTATTGAATTTTAAATGAAGTTTGGAATGATGCGTTCAATAATCCAATCCTGAATTTCTTCATTTTCCACTGTCTGTAAGAGACATTCTTGCAAAGAGAATGCAAGATGTCTCCTGTTACATTTATGGCATAAAAAGGCTTTGGAACTAACAATACTAGACAATTTTTTATAATAGACACGCTCTGATAGATTGTCTATGACATTGATGGCCAATTTGGATGCCTCTCCACTGACTTTCCGCCTCTTTGTCTTCTTAGTTCCAACTGAAACATCAGATGCACATACACAGCAAACTCCCACCATTTTGTCATAGCCGCACCTACTATTATTACATTAAAAATTCAACGATATTGCATTAAACGTGTATGGCTTCCTATTATCACTTCACTTCCTTGAACAACTTTGCCAAGCTCAGTACACCAGACCACTACCCCGCAGGTACGGAGGGCGTGGTCTGGCTACGCGAGACTACATTCATTCCACCTCCTCCAGTCGCCATGTTACCCACGTGGAAGCACGTGTCATGAACACCCACCCATCCGCCCACGTGTAAACAAAGTAGGCGTGGTGGTCTTGTACAGGAAGTTCTCGGAGAAGAAAGGAGGAAAAGATAATAGTGAAGACCACTACATCCTAGGTCATTATCGGCCCTGAAAGATGAGGAAGGGAGTCCATTTTACTGTAGTCTTCATTCTACTAGCTACAAGTGAGAACGAAGCTTAAAGAGCTGTTACTTGTTAACTTGTACCTCGGGTTGTGTAACCTGACCCACAACATTGTTTTAATCCTTGCATATGTACACTATGATTATCATTAACACCTACTCTATCTATCTCTGCCTCAGATCTAGGTGGATCCCTTTCATCACACAGCAGGCAGCCTCTATCTTACAACAACCAAAGAGAAGACAAGCCCCAGGATAGCTATGACCAGCGTCCATATCCTGATTCGTTTCATGACGGTGATCCATACAATGGAAAGGAGGATGTAGATCGTCCATACAAATATAACGAGGACACTAATGCAGAGGAAACTGATGAGGAGGAGGATTATAAATATAACGATAAATCAAAAGAGACGACGGATAATAATGAATATCATTCCTCCCCTAGTGACAATTATCACAATCAGGATGGACAAGACCCTGCAGAAGAACCAGACCTTCCTCCTCCTTCCTATCCCACGGCTCCCCCCTCCTACTCGTGTAGGTTTCATTATCACTCTAACTCATTGCCTAAGGGAAAGACCAAGGTATCGTATCTTCATTTCATTGGTGCCGCTCGTTCTTACAAGGAATGTGCTGATCTTTGTTGTCAACATGGTCGAAAGTGTCAGTTGGGCTGGTTGTTTAAGAAGAAGTGTTTCGCTGTCGGTTGTAACTCTGCTGAAAAGGATAGGTGTACTCCTAAGGCTGTTCCTTATGATGCTAAGTATAGCAGTAGTGTTGTTGTAATGTCTTTTGTTAAGAAGACCAATCATGATAGTCATAATAAAGATGAAAGCTCTTTCTCTTCTACTGTTGTCCCCCAACCATCTTCCTCCTCTCTCTCCTCCTCCTCTTCCTCTGATTATTATTCTTCTAATTTACATTCTCATTCTATTGCCACGACGAGGTCTTCGTCTTTGTCTTCGGTTGTCACTACAACTCCAAGCTCGTCCTCTTCTGTCATCAAGGCAACACCTCACCCTAAACCACCACACGGGAATCACAGATTAATCAATAATGGTAAGTTAGAAATTAAGAGGATTTGCCTTGTTAATTTTTGTGGATTGTCTGTTTAAAATGAAAGCTGTTTTAAGTTTAACGTTGTTATACTGTTAACTTTGTACTTATAATTACATGAAAATTGTTTACATAGTAAATATGTATTAGTGCAATTACTGTTGCTATTTAAGATATTAAAATCTAATTAGTGAAGCAGTTACAGTAGCATTAAGTTTTGAATGTCATGTCATACACAATGTATTAAGTAGGCAGGGGCCAGTGGCTTCAATTTATTAATGGCAATGCATTGGGCAGCTTCATATTAATGATCATTATTATTAGATTAGTATTGTTATTTCCCATTATGTACATTGATATGTATAGTGTACATTATGATGTAGAGCGTAATAGTGAGTCTTTTTAGATTCTATTATGACAAAGCACCATTCTCTATTATCATTCATCCATTTGTTATTACATTGTGTATGTATTCTGTATCTGTTTCCTGTCTGTTATAAATGAAATGTTTTCCATAAAGACAAATGCACATGTGTTCTTATTGTAAACAATACAAATGCATTCTGTTTGTTTATACATTAACATTATAATTAATACCTTTCTTTTAATCATTATTATTCTCTTTCTCCTCCCATTTTTTTCTCCTTTTTTTATGCATGCCCACTCTTTTCCCTCTCCTCCTATTCTCCTTTAATATTCTCTCCTCCCTCCATCTCTCCTCCTCTCTTTCTCTCTACAGTCCTTACAATAGCAGTTGCTAATAAACATCCAGTTATTACACTACCAACTGATCATATTAAGATATTCTCCAGTACATGGCCTGATTCATCACCAGGTGTTACTTATCATTATCATTGGAGGAGACTGTTTGGTCCTAAGAAGGGAAACCTCAATGGAGTCAATGATAAAACCATCTCATTGAGTCACGTATGTTATAGAGAGGGAGAGGGAGGAAGGAATGTATGGCTCTGTCACCTGTCAATTGTTTATATAGAAATTATTATTGTTAAATTTGCAAAACAAGGATTATGTGTGGTTGTTTTTATGTGGATAAAATAAGAATAATCTGGGGCTACAACTGTAGGTTATAAGAATAATGATGATAATAGTAATATTCCTCCAATTCGTAACAATTTCTCTAAAAAATTGTCACTTTAAATTATTTGAATTTGTAATAAACATTGAATTTTTGGAGGGATAACAGCTGAGAAGCTTCTAGATTTGGAGGGATTTTGCACTGCCAAGGCATCATTAAGTCTTTAAGGTCAATCACACTAATTTAGCTATTCACACATTTCTAACTAGAACAGAGGCAAGGGAAAAAATTAGAAAATTATGGAACAATGATTTTTAAAAGAATTTTTAGAAGGAATTTTGGTAGAAATTTTGAAATAATTATTTATTTTTGAACTTAGAGCCCCTAATATTTAGAAGAATTACAGTAATAATAATAGTAATGATCACAACAATAACAACAATAATTATAATATGTGAGTATAGTCATTGTGCCCATTTCATTAAGTATCGTAAGTATCATATGTGATAAGTACATCAAAGATATTTTTAAAGTTAGGCCTTTCGTAATCCTTGTGTCTCCAACAGTTTATCATGAGTTGTTGAAATGGTTCAGGACAATTTCTTGGTATGAACAAATGATCACCTTTTGATACTAATTCCCTTACTTCTTCATTAGTCATGCCATAGTATGGTAGATCTCCTTTAGTAACCATTTCCCATAGTAATATACCAAATGACCAAACATCAGATTTAATACTTATTTGATTTATAGTATATCCTTCAGGTGCTGTCCATTTGTAAGGTAGCATAGTACTTTCCTCAACAGTCCGGTATTTATTGCCATTAAGGTGTTGGGCAAGGTGAAAGTTTGCTATCTTGACAGTGTTATTATATCCTTCTATTAGTATATTGATAGCTCTTAGATCACAATGAATGTAATCTTGTTCTCCTAGATAAATCATGCCTTCAGTAACTTGAATAGCAATATCTACCAACTTTGCTAGTATAACATCATTTTCAAGTAGATAGTATCTGAGGTTTTTATTTATTTGCTCTGTTACAATATAAAAAGGATAGCTTTCAGTGCAAACACCATATAGACTGATGATGTTCTTATGCTGGAGGTTTTTCAGTATGTTTGCCTGTTGAAAAAATTTTTCTTGTGCAATATTTGTTGCTATATTTGTCTTAATTATAACGGGGCCTTTACCTTTCCATTTACCCTCCCATGTCTCTCCAAACCATCCTACATAGGAACATTTTATGAACTTGATATGCAACTTATTAATTTGCCACTCTTTATTCATTGCAATGGGTGTGTTTGCTTGTTTGGGTATAGGAACTTTTAGTGAGCAGATCAGACCATCAGCTTTCATCATGTAGTGATGTACCAGGTCATTGAGTGAGTCAAACTGGTCATCAGGGTTTATATAATGCTTATTGTTCTCACTATTTATTCGATAGTGCTGGATAGTAAGCCCATCATTAACTGAGAGGGAATAATGCTGTCCAGGATTACTTTCACTCTCTCTAATTAGGAAAGCACCTGCTTGAATGTTTGCTTGAAGCATTAGCTTCACTGCTTCATCACGGCTTACTGTATGAAAGTAGATGGATTCATACCTAATGAATAAAGGAATTTTATCAGTTATTGTTATTAATTATTAAGAAATTGGCTATTTTGTTAATGAATATGTTTTTAATGCATGCACATCATTACTCGAATTGAGTGTATACTGGAGTGGAGTACATGGAGTATACTTTGCTACACTCCATGTGGCTATAGTGCACTTTGTTAAACCTTCAAAAGTCCCTGTTTGGCTTTTTTTAATGAATTGAGTAAGCATCAGTGCCAATTACAGGGTTAAAGCTAGATCAGGACAATTGAGCTTTATTCATTTAAGCAAATGACCAGATTGGAGATAGCTTTGTAAGCAAAATTTGGTGCATTTTGCTCTAGATTTATAAGGTTGTAACTACATAGTATACCGTATATCAGGTATATTTTAATGCATGAAAAGTGGTGTAAATATGAAGTTTAATGATGGAATAATTCAGAAGCCACCTTCTCTCCGAAAATGTGTTACTAACTTACTTGCTATTATTTCCATCAACCACCTAGTCTGGTAAGTAAATTGAAGCATTTGCTGACTTCTCTACTTTCTGAATCAACCTTAGCAGCACTTCTAGTTTGCAAAAAGGCTCTATATAGCCTTTGAGTTAGAATAAAATGAAGCCACATGTGCATAATAATTGCATAATACCACATACTGTCAAGAGTAGATAATAATTAGAGGAGAGTGTCCTACTGTGCCTATACCCCCTGCTTCATCACAGCATAGAATTGAAGAGTCACATTCCGGTTATTTCCGTAT